AGTGCTTTCGGTCTGCAGATCACTTGTTCAATTCCAAACTGCCCACACCACTATGAGGCCCACCTAGTCAGGACTTGGCTCCAGAAATTCTTTCCCATCACCGTGGGTTGTATCTTCAGTCCCCGGACTCACTGCTTGGTGTGGTGTGTATATGCGCGTGCACGTGTGTGTGTGTGTGTGTGTGTGTGTGTGTGTGTGTGTGTGTATGGCTGAGCTCCCTCAGCCCTAAGTCCTATCCTCTGGTGTGCTTTGACTCCTGCCCGATTTTCCTGGCTTGTTCTTCTTTGTCCTCCCCCTTCCCCCACTGGTTCTCCCTTTCCCTCTTCACAGTGGGGGGCTGTCACAGGGCAAACCCCAGGTTTCCAGTCTCCATTCTCTGCAGTTCTCCTCACGGCTGGGGGCTCCAGGAGCTTCTGCAGCCTCCTTCAGGCCTGGGGTGCTGGGAAGGCTGGCTGAGGCTCCGAGGCTCAGACCCAGGCCCACCCTTGGGTCCGGTGCACCTGCCTTTCCTTTGAGACCGTGAGGCCCAGAGCTCTCACTGGGAGAGCTTGGCTCTTCCTGCTGGCAGAAGAATGGGTGCTATTTTGGGTGACATATTTACGCTTGGCTCCAGCGGTACTGGCGAAAACCCCTTGCCCTACTAACCTCTCCCCTGGAGAGGAGGGAGCAGACTGAGAGGTGGTTCCAGCCAGGAGGACCTGAAGGCGGGCCGTGGGGGCCCAGCCTGGGATTTAGCATGTGGCATGCTGGGGCCAAATCAGAGAACAAACACTGAGCAGGAGGACTGGGATCCAGGCAGAGGTGGCACTGGGGCCTCTCTCTGGGAACTGCACTGCAGAGGATGTCACTGATTGCCTGAGGCAGCAGCCCAAACTTGGAGGTGAAGGCCTGACTTTGTATTCGGAATTGGTCCTGTGCGACTGGGACACAGGCATGTCCCACTCTCTCCTTGGTCTGTAAGTCTGCTATTAGGGTCCATGGTGGGAGAATGGGGCTGGGAGAACAATGTGGTCAGACGTGGGGCACCAGGGAGGCTTATTGGACTGGTTTTGCCCCTTGAGTCTCCTTCCCTGGGGCTAGAGGGAATCTTGGTGATTGGTCAATCTTGGCTCCAGCAGGTGGGGTCAGCAGGGCTGGAGCGCATAGAGGACCCCGGGGACAGATACTCAGGGGCTTTCTCCACGCTCGCAGTTGGAGTCCCTGGGGAAGGGAGAAGCTTAAGAAAGACAGGTGATGACAGTTTTTTCTGAGGTAGGGGCTGTCAGAGCTCTCAGGGCCTTGTTCTGTGTGTGTGTCCAAGAAGAGGCCCTGGAGTCCCACAGCAAGAGGGCCTGAGGATAGCCCACCTGTCAGGGGCTGGAGTTACTAAGAGGAAGCTGTGGGCACTTCCGGAGTCCAGAGTCAGGTTTCAGGCTTGGGAAGGTCAGGAGAAACACTGAAAGGTCTGATCCAGGGGTCAGGGGACCTGCCCCCAACCTCCTACCCTTCCCAGCATGGACAGAGGAGGGCGGGGCTCCCGCGCCTCTCCCCATTGGCACACCCACCCTCCCCGCCCCCTTGGTAGGTTAGGGGTGGCACCATCAGGGGCTACCCCTTGTCCTAGTGACTTAATGTTGGCTCCACAGCCTGGAATTATCTGGAAGACAAAATATGGCTTCGACAGACAGGCAGAGGTGGTAAGCACCTGTCGTCCCCCCCGCCCCCAGCCTCACCTCAGAGCTCCTCCTGTCCTGCCCTCAGCCTTTCCCCCCAGTACCCCTCCTCCCCATGCACCCACCCACGGGCCCCAGAGAAGGGGTCTCTTTCACTTTCTCTCCCGCGGTCCCAGGGATGGGCAGTTTAGGGAGGGTAGAGCAGGAGTTGGTCCACCTGCCACTCCTCTGGCCCCTGCTCCCGGAGCTCCAGCCACAGTGACCCCATCAGCCCTTAGCCGACCTGCTAAGTCCTCTGGTGCTTGTTCCTGCCGCCATCCACACGACTCCATCTCTCACTGCCTTGGGGTCTTGGGCGCTTGCTCCTCTGAGTGGCTCCCAGGCCCTGCCCAGTCACCCCCTGCACTCCCAAGCCCTCTTTGCTTGATCTCCTTCCCCCATAACCTTTTGCAGAAGTCAAGGTCACAGCCTTGGTACTTCCTGCCATGCTGTCTTAACACTATCTCCTAGAGCTTCTAGCATGGGCACTCCTCTCGTCGTTTTTGTATCAGTCCTGTGGCTACCTTGGCCCTCCACACAGCCATTCTTCTTTAACACTCTCTCGGGGCAGTGACCAAGACGTCCCTTGGAATGCCTTCCTTCCACATGGAAGGACTTGAGTTCAGGTCCTGGCCTTCCTGCCAGTGTGCACCCTGGGTGGCAGCAGGGGATGGTTCAAGAAGCTGAGCTCCCATCACCCATGTCGGAGACCCAAATTGATTTCCCAGCTCCCAGCTTTGGCCTGGCCCAGCCCTAGGTGTCATGAGCGCTTGGATGGCAGTGCTGTCCTGCGCCCTCTGCCACCCTGACTCTTTCCCTCTCAAACATGAACAATAATTTTCCAGCCTCACTACACACACACACACACACACACACACACACACACCTCCCAGGCTTCTCCCTGGGAGACTTGTTTTTGACCGACTCGTAAGTAGATGCATATAGAGTGAAGAAATGTTGACTAGCAAGAGGAATGGTTGAAGTTAGCTGGAGAGTTTGTGGTTGACCAATCTGATTCAATGGCTAAACGAGTTTACAAATGATGTAATAACGGACTGAGTCCATGACTGGCTAATAAGAGAAGTGGCTAAGTTGCTGGACTGGATAGTTCATTAAAGTATCGGGGAGTTGTTAGCTGTGCTGCCCCTCACTAACAGATTGCTTAGATGAGCTGACTTCCCATCCAGTCCTCAGTTTGCAAGCTAGTCTTCTTGTACGCCCTCTTAGTCTACACCTGTTCCTTCAACTAGCCTGCCTATGCTCCAATGTGGTTCTTTCTGTGTGGTCTCTCAGATCATCTGACCAGCTGCCTTTTTACTGGTCTTTTGCGCCCAAAGGTCCAGTGTTCCTTGGCCACTCCCACTGCTTTAAGCCAGCACCTGCAGTCTCCCTGGACCTTCCCTCTCTGCTCAGACTCGCCCGGGCTCCTGCAGCCTGTGGTATACTCACAGGGGTGTCACCATTTGGCCTGACTGTGGGGGAGGCCTCCTGATGCTTGCATGCTTTCATTCGCTCGCCCCCAGCCCTGGTCTCTGTGGTTGGGGTTGTGAGGAGGCTCTTATCCTGCTTAATCCTCCACCAGGCTTCATGGGGACCACCCTTCTCTTCCCATCTCATGTCACTTTATCTCCTGCCTCTGGCCAGCCTCTCTCAGCAGAATCCCACAGGGCAATACCCATCCCCCCTTTGGAGTTGCTGGCTCCATAAAAAAAAAAAATATTTTTTTAGAGAAAAAGAAAGGATCTTCATCTGCTGGTTCACTCCCCAAGTGCTCACAATAGCCAGAGCTAAGCTGATTCAAAGCCAGGAGTCAGGAGCTTCTTCCGGATCTCCCACACGGGTGCAGGGTCCTTAGGCTTTGAGCCGATCTCTACTGCTTTCCCAGGCCACAAGCAGGGAGCTGGAAGGGAAGCCAGTGTCTGGGATATGAACTGGCACCCATACGGCATCCCGGTGTATGCAAGGCCAGGACTCTAGCCACTAGGCTACTGAGCCAGGCCTTCATCAGTTGTTTTTACTTCCCAAGACCTGGGATTCTGCCAGCAGCCTTTCCTGCAGGACCTGTGAGGGACAGACAGAGGAGGTATTCCGTGGTTCCTTGGCCAGCTGCTGCTGCTTTGATGCTGGGGAGGAGGGAGGAGTGGGGCTTTCCGATTTCTCCTGGTGGTCCCATCTGCCTCCTCTGGCACCTCCCCTGGATGGTCCTGGGGGATCCCTGCTCTGTACCTGCCTGCTCTCAGGTTCTTCCTCAGGACTGGGGAGGCCTTCTGTAGTGGAGACTGGGCTTCTGGAGGAGGCAGCATGGGAACTGGAGTTGAATGGGGAGTTGGTAGGTTGTCTAGGCCACATCTACATGCTAAGCCTGGGTTGCTCTCCCCAGTGTAAGAAGTGGAGCAAGGCCTGGGGTGGATGGGAGGTGAACGGGGGGCCTCAGCTTGATCAGTGGAGGGTCCCTGGACAACATTCACCCCTGTGTTCACTTGGAAGAGATGGAGGAAATGCTGCTGTCCGCCAAAGAGGCTGAAGGGGAATGAGTAGGGAGAGGCCAGGGGGCTGCGTGGGGAGAGGCCAGCGGGGCAGGCTCACTAGTCTGAAGAAGCACCAACGCCACACCTAGGGGTATCTGTAGTCTGTTCCCTTTTCCCTCTAATTCCTCAGAGCCTATAATTTCCCCCAAGCCCCAGCCCTGTGTCTCCCCCAACACATAGACCATAGGGCCTGGAACTTCTTCACCTCACCAGGTGTTGATGACACAAGTATTTATCAAGCACCAGCGATGTGGACATCCCCAGAGGCTCTAGCCCAGAGTAAGGCAGACAGATTCCCCTGTGCTCATTCATTCAGCTTGCTGTACACCTGCTCTGCACTGAGGGAGTAGACCCAGTCCTTCCTCTCCTCCTTCTCTGCCCGCCCTCTGCATCTCACACAGCCCGGGTATCTTCTGACCCTTTATCTTGTGCAAAAGCTAGCACAGGCCTCAGACCTCGGGCTGCCGTGAGGGCCCTGCAGTAGACTTTGCCACACCCCATTCTGTTGGCAGAGTGCCTCACCATTGCTGGGCCCTGGGCCTGTGACCCCAAAGCTCTGGTTCTTAGAGATAAGCAGTCAGAGAGACAGGCAGATAGCTGGGCTCCTCTCTCTTGCTTTCTTCCAGCCCCCGGGTCCCCTTGCTCTGTGCCCCTGGGCACTGCCCATTACACTTGCAGCTCACCCCTCAGCCAAGAGCCTCCTTCATTGTGCCTTTCCCACTGCTTTGAGTACCAAGTAGAGGACAGCAGAGGCTGACTGCCCATGCAGCCCAGGTACTGCCCTGGCCCCGAGGCTCTGTGGTGTCTCCTGGCCTAGCGCTTCCCAGCTTCCCTGAGCAAGAGGAGGTGTCTGTGGGGAGCGTGCTGTGAGGGTTACCCATTAACTCAGCCAGGAGGTGAAGGGCTGCTGTGCAGCAGGCCACGCAGACTTGCCCCAGCTCTCTGTCCATGGCCTTGACTTTGGCTGCAGCTTCAGCCCACCCGCCCCACAGCTCCCGGATGGTCTCCGAGCCTGTACTACCAAGGATCCATGCAATCCTGCAGAAGGAGAGTGTGCGAGAGTTCCTGGCAGAGTTCCTGAGCACCTACGTCATGATGGTGAGTGAGCAGGTGGCACAGTGTGGATGGGGCCCGGCAATGCGGCAGACTGGGGGTCCTTTGCCCAGCGCCCCTGAGGTGAGAGTCTGGGGAAGAAGCAATGGGAAGTGTGGAGAGGGGCCTTTTTTTTTACCAATTCTCCTGGGGACAGGATGGATCTGTGACTGGGAGGTGGGAGTGTTGGGGATCAGGGATGGCATTGGGATGGGAAATCCAGGGGAGACAGGGTGAAGTGAAGCTTGGAAGTCAGCCTCTGAGATACAATCCTGAGAAGGGTGAGGAAGTGATGGAAGTTACCCAGCAGGGCTGCGATGTGGTTGGGTGTGGAGCCTGGAAGCTTCTCCTGGGTCTCCTACGCAAGTACAGGTGCCCAAGGACTTGGGCCATCTTTCAATTTTCCAGGCCCATTAGCAGGCAGCTGGACTGGGAACAGAGCAGCTGGGACATGAACCAGCAGCTGTATGGGATGGCAGTACTGCAGATGAAGCTTAATCTATTATGCCACGGCACTGGCCCCTAGAATGCAGAGTTTAGAAGAGAATTCTGGGTGCCCTGTGGGACCTACAGGGGAGAGGGGTGGTGACCAGGGAAGGAGGAACTTGCCCATTGCTGTAGTCATGGCATTGAGAAGCCCTGGCGGGTTGAGGTCTCAGTTTGGGGCCAGCAGGGAGGCTTCTGTGTGTGCAGGCAGGCACTGGTGCAGCCATCAGAAGACTCAGGGGAACCAGAAGGGGCGAGGGCCTGTCCCGCCAGGAGGACGTGGTCAGCAGGCAGGAAGCTGCACACAGACCAGGATCCCCAGGTCGCTGGGAATCCTCGTCATGGGCTCTTCTTGAGTGTGATGGGCACAGATGACAGACTGCAGGGAGCACGGGGCAGAGGGACCCTGGTCTTCTTTCCACTGGCTTCCAGACTGTCCCCAGGCCCAGAGGTCTGTGCCCTAAGCAAGTGCCATGGACTTTCAGGCCTGGGAAAAGAAGAGGGACTCCTGGGAAGGGATGCAAAGGCAGTCAGAGGCAGCTGGAGGAGGTGAGGGTGGGTGAACCTGGGGCTGTGTGTGTGTGTGTGTAGAAGAGTGTGAGTGAACCTGTGTGGGTTTAAAGTGAGAGTACCTGGGGCTGGGTGTGTGTGTGTGTGATGGGAATATGAGTATATTAGGGGTTGTGTGTATGTAAGATTGTAGGTGAACGTGTATGTTTGTGTGTGTGTGAAGGGAGTATGAGTATATTTGGGGCTGTGTGTATGTAAGATTGTAGGTGAACATGTGTGTGTGTGTGTGTATGTGTTGAAAGTGTGGTATGCCCAGGGCTGGGTGTGCACTGTCTGTGCACTGAGCCACAAGTGCAGGAGATGATGGGACACAGAGTGTCCCAGAGCGTGAGGCACCCTGCACACCTGGGTTCGGGGCATCTGTCCAGTTCCAAGCTTGTCTTCTCAGGTGGTAAATGTGAGGAATTGGGCCTGCCCAGGCCTTGATGATGGGTTTGAATCCTGGCTCTGCTGTCTTCTGGCTATGTGACCTTTGGCAAAAGAATCTTAGCTGTCCAGAATGAGCTCCCTCGTTAGGGAACACTCCCAGTGAGCTGGCAGAACTGTGTGGAGGAGGCCTGGTGCCAGCCTCCCAGCACACACGCATTGGGCCCGTTGTCGCTGCGAGGAGCACGCTCCCTGCATCTCCCTCCCTCCCTCCCTCCCCACCCCGCCCTCTTTCCCAGTCTCCTGAGCTGTGAGTGGCAACAGCTGACTCCTATCTCTCCTTAGCCCGGGACAAAGTCATTCATTTATGACAAGACATTCCAGCCCCGTGAGGGCTGTTAAACCTTGGAACCTTGGTCACCCCTTGGGGAGTTCTTAGGGACAGCAGGCACCACCCACACACTTGGAGGCTGGCACACACCTGTGTTTCTCTTCCTCTGACGTTATTGAGCACCAGGGGACTCAGCCCTTACATGGGGTGCCCTCCCACATCGTCAGAGCGCCTGGGGCATGGGCACTTCACAGTTGGGTGTTGGGGACTCCATGAGTCTTGGGTATTTGCCTGAGGTCACACATTAAGTCCAGCGTAAAGTCAGTTTGCTCTAGTATCACTCAGTCTCTCTCTTTACACTTATTTTATTTTGAATGAGTGATATTTATACACTTACTTGTGTGTGTGTGTGTGTGAGAGAGAGAGAGAGAAAGAGAGAGAAAGAGGGAGAGAGAGAAAGAGAGAGAAAGAGGGAGAGAGAGAGAGAGAGATTTTTCCATCAGCTGGGTCACTGCCCATATGGCTGCATTGGCTGACATTGGCCAGCAGAAGCCATGAGCCTGGAACTCCATCCAGGTCTCCTATGTGGGAGGCTGGGGCCCAGGCACGTGAGTCATCCTCCACTGCTTTCTCAGGTGCATTTGCAGTGAGCTGGATTGGAAATAGAGCAGCCAGGACGCATATAGGATGCGGGCATTGCAGGCAGCAGTTTTGCTTTTTTGTGTGTGTGTGTGTGTTTTCTTTTATTATTATTTTAAAATTTTTTTCCATATTGTTTCCTTCATGTTTAAAGGGGAGGTATTAAGGGAGAAGGCCCACCCAATATCCCACCCTCCCCAGGTCCCGGATGTAGGGTATGCTCTGAGGTTCTTGGTCAAGTGGTTTTGATATTTCAACAGTTATGAATCGCTGCCAATCTTGCCACTCCAAGCACTATGAGGTCTTTGAAGAATCCACTGATTGACATAGTCCATCATAGAGTCTCTGCCCTGTATTTTGCTGCCAAGATATAGCTGAGATGGTTGGTTGACCTGTTCTGTCTTCTCTCTTTTCTTGGTTAGGGTTCTGAGTCCAGCATTTTGATTGGGGAGATCTCCAAAGAAACTTTGTCTGAGGTGTTCTCAAACCAGATTCTTGTATGTGCTAGCAAGTACAGGGCCCGGCACAGTCCATCGCCCCAATCAGCTGGTGGTTGCAATTGCTGGGTTGGTTCTGTTTTCACTCCCGACTTCCACTGGAACCAATGGGTATTGCAGTCCAGCCTGGTTCTGTCCACCACATACTCGGCCCTCGCATAAACCAGTGGGAGCTGCAGCCTAGTCAGAGCGACCCACACTAACCCCCACCAGGCCCGCCCCCTACCTTGATTTGCCAGTATGTGTAGCAGTAGTCCAGTCTGTCCCACATCCCATTCCACCCCAGCCCCTGTCCTAGTTTTCATGCCCTCCCATGAAAGTGGTAACCCAAGAGGGATGAGCCCACTATTTCCCTCCCAGGCCTCTCCCACTCCCAGATTAGGCACTCTCCGGATAGTTCTGTGGTTTGACTTGACAGAACTAACCCCCAGTGCCAGCTTCTGCCAGCTGATGCTGTGGCTAAGCTCAAACACCCCTCACCCATTCTAGTTCTGTTTGCACCTGTAGGAATAATCAGCCCAGCCTGGCTTTTCCCTGATCTAGTCCACATGAGGCGTGTAGGTGTTGTAGTCTGCCTAGTCTGGTCTGCAGGCAGCAGTTTTACACACTATACCATGACACCTGCCCCTACTACCACAGTCTTGATTCTTCATTTCTCTAGTCTACCCTTTGGCTTAGGTTCAGCACAATTCCTAAGACTGACTCATTAGCTCTTCCTCAGCTAGGGTAAAGCTCTCATTTCCAGGTTTTGAGTAGTTCAAGACACCTCTTTTAAAATAAACAAATGCTTTATTTTTGATGATGCGTACATAGTTAAGAAGGATGGACACCCATGTAGACTACTGATTATGGTGGGAAGGGTTGAGGAGTGAGGGAAAGTTTTTTCCCCTGTATCTGGGGGAGGTAGGAGAAAAGGGAAGAGGGCTGCTCCCAGCAGCCCAACTGCATTCAAAACTCCTCTTAGGACCTCAGTTTCCTTATCCACACTACCTCTGGAGCTGTCACCATGGAATCATAGGTTAAGCCTCAGCCTGTAGGGCTGCCATCCCATATGGGCACTAGTTCAAAGCCAAGCTGCTGCACTTCCATTCCAGATCCCTGAGAAAGCACTTAGAGAAGCAGCAGGGGATGGCCCAAGTCCTTGGGACCCTGTACCCACACGGGAGACTTAGCTTCAGAGTAGCCTAGCTCCAGCCCAAGTGGCCATTTGGGGAGTAAACCAACAGATGAAAGATCTCACTGTCTCTCCCTTTTCCATAAAATCTGCCTTTCAAACTAAAAAAAAAAAAAAAAAAAAAAAAAAACTTTTTAAAAAACCAAACGCTAGCCACACAGTTTTGCCGTGAAGACAGAAGGCAAGGGACATTTGCAAAAGAGCTTTGCAAGGTTTGTGCACATACCAGGCATTGTGCTGTTATTCTTGGCTGTGGAACCTGTGCCAGGAAGTGGGGGGCTGGCTCCATGACAGCATGCTCTGTGAGTCAGCACATGGAGGCGCTTCCCTAAGAGCCTGGGGTGACCTTGGGTCCCATTTATTGCAGCCAGGATGAGGACAGCAGACCATCTGTAGCCTACAGGGGTGTGGCCCCTGGAACTGACCTCCTCGCTATTGGGGGTACTTAGCAGGCAGGGCCTTGTTCACTGACCAGGCTGGGGAGGGGCTGGAACCACTAAGGCCCTAGAAGGCCAGCTTTGTTCATGAGCCACAGGGCAAGGGTTGGAAATTTGCATGCTCAGGGGACCGAGAGTTTGAACTTCAAATGATGGGGATTTTTATTATTTTTAATATGCGTTTATGTGTTTGAAAGGCAAGGTTAGACACACACACACACACAGAAGGAGAAGAGATAGAGTCTTCCATCTGCTAGTTCACTCCTCAAATGGCCCAACAGCCAGAGCAGGGCTGGGGAGAAGTCAGGAACTCCGTGTGAATCTCCCATGTGGGTAGCAACAACTCTGGTCCTTGTGCCTTCTGCTGCTAGCTCCCAGGCACATAAACAGGAAACTGGTTCAGAAGCACAGAATAACTGAGACTTGGACCAATGACTCAGAGAGGGCGAGTGGGCACCCCGAGTGATGCCTTCACTGGTTGTGCCACAATGCCCACCCCTCTGAAGGGGCCTCAGCGACTGGGTACTGAATTAGGACTTCATCCTGGAATTGGAGGGGAGCCTGTGAATGTTTGAAGAAGGGGTGGACGTGGTCAGGAAGGAGCCTCTGGCTTTCAGGAGGAACTCCGGCAGGATGTCCCAAGAGTGAGCGGGGTGCTGGGAAGCAGGGCAGAGGGGAAGCTCTCATCAGTGACTTCTGCGTTTCTGGCATGGCACACTGGGATGGGGAGCCAAGTGTGAGCAGCAGAACACAGGATGAGCTGATGGAGACTGTGATGGTCTGGGAATCCCCCGGGGTATTTAGAAATAGGAATGTGGCTCCCAGGTGAAGAGATGATGGGGAATTTTGATGCTTCAGGCACAACTGATGCCACAGTCCTGGAAGGAAGATTCAGGAAGAGTGACTGGAGTTAGGGTTGAAAATAGCCTGAATCAGATGTGTTCACAAGACCCATGGGAAACAATAGCAGGAGCTAGAAACAGCCATGTGGCCAGCAAAAGGGGAGAAGACCAGGAAGGGGAGGAATGGAGGGGGGTGCCCTGCAGAACCCCAGTGTGGCGAAGAGCAGCTCAGGTGGCAAAGTCAAGCTTAGACATTTGCCTGGGAGCACTTGGGGAGATGAGGAGACTGCTAGGGCCCTGCCAGGGGGCTTTCATGTGAGCAGAAGCCAGACTGAAGGAAGAGGGGTACATGGGAAGGGATGCAGGAATGGCCACAAGCAAGGAGCAGCTGAGAAATCCATGGCTGTAGAGGGAGGCTGGACTGAGATGGCAAGGTTTATTAGGAAAGAAGAGACTCAAGTCTATGGGAACCAGTGGAAGCCAGGCCGGGGGGAGGAGGGTGTAACTGGAGGCTGAGTGAGGACCTCTTCGCTCCCTGCAGAGGTCGGAGTCTCTCAAGCAGATGGAGTGGTGACAGGTGCACAAGAGCAGTGCCTTTGTGAATGATGTCCGAGTCCAGGTGACAGAGTTGAGGGCAGGAGAATTGGGACCCACACTCTCACTGTGCCTGCAGCCTGGAGACCCCTGGAAAATCTTCCTCAAGCTTGAGTGCAAACTGCCCCAAGGACACAACCCAGACGAGCCACCCACCCAGGCCTGCCTCCTCCCGGGGATTGAAGGATGGGGGTCCAGGCACCTGTGTGTGCATGATGAGAGGCTTTGCTTTCATTGCCTCAGCCCTGGCCCCATCAAACAGCTCTCACTGGCTCAGGTCCAGAGCCCTAGATGGGCAGGGAAGAGAAGGTTCTGGAAGAAGGCAGCACAGGGTCTTTGGGGACAATGCTGGGAGCCAAGTGTTGGGCCCTTTGGAGGTCTCAGCTGCTTGGAATGTGGCCCCTCAAAAGCCCTTCCTTACAGGTGTTTGGTCTGGGTTCTGTGGCCCACATGGTCCTAGATGAGAAGCACGGGAGTTACCTCGGTGTCAATATAGGTTTTGGCTTCGGTGTCACCATGGGAGCACACGTGGCAGGCAACATCTCTGGTAAGTGAGCAAGGCCAGGCCTCACCTACCTGGACAAGGCCAGGGGTCCCCACGGGTCCTTTCCAATTGGCCTCCCACATAGTTGGGTGTCACCTTTCCCAGTCACCCTGGGCAGGAGAACTCTCGGAGTCCCTTACCTCTCAAGACTCTCCAGGGGCCACCATTGTGAGTAGCCAGTCCCTGTGGGCAGGTGACTTCCTTTTCTCTATGGTGGACAAGGATGGTGGTCACTGGCTTGTGGGTGGTGTGTCTGGGAGTGCTGTCATACAGGAAGCACTGCTTAGACACCTGCAGCTGTCAATACTTGCTCCTGCCATTAATACCCTCCATCCCCGGCCCTCGCACCCCCTCTTCCGCAGGGGCCCACATGAACGCAGCTGTGACCTTTGCTAGCTGCGCGCTGGGCCGCATGTCCTGGAGGAAGTACCCCGTGTACGTGCTGGGCCAGTTCCTGGGTTCCTTCACCGCTGCCGCCACCATCTACGGCCTCTTCTACAGTAGGTGCCTAGCCCTGGGCCACTTGCCTCCAACCCCCGCTCTGCTCTACACCTCCCGCTTGCTGGATCCCAACTCGGTTAAGACACAAAAAGCCTTGGGATTGCTCCCTAGCCCTCCACCCGGCCATCTGCTTTGGGGGAGGCCTGGGGAGTTCAGTTAGGGCAGGTGCCCACTCAATGTGTGTCTCCCTAGGGGCCATTCTCCACTTCTCCGGTGGAGAGCTGGCAGTGACGGGTCCTCAGGCCACCGCAGGCATTTTTGCTACCTATCTTCCTGAGCACATGACATTATGGTGGGGCTTCCTGAATGAGGTCAGTGGTCCAGGGTTGGGGGCTGCTCCCCAAGGCGCTCCTCAGAAGCCTGGATGGGAGACTGTACCAAGATCGGTTCCTGCCCATGTGTATGTGTGTGCATGCTTGGGCACATGGACTTGGGGGAGTGCTGGGCTGGGCAAGGTAAGAGTGGGACCTGGGCTACCATGGTGCCTGCTCCCTAGGTGGTACTGACCGGGATGCTCCAGCTTTGTATCTTAGCCATCACCGACAAGGAGAACAACCCAGCGCTGCCAGGCACACAAGCCCTGGTCATCGGCATCCTAGTTACCATCATTGGAGCATCCCTGGGCATGAACACCGGCTATGCTATCAATCCATCCCGGGACCTGCCTCCCCGCTTCTTCACCTTCATTGCTGGCTGGGGCACAGAGGTGTTCAGGTACTACCCCTGCCTGTACCCTCACAGCTCTCCCAGGCCAAGCCTGGGTACAGATCCAGCTCCTGCACTGGGTGTCAGCTCTGTCCTTGAATCAGATTCGGGTGTCTTAGGGGAGAGAAGGGAGGAAGGTGATTCTCTGTTAATTGACCAGTGTTGGCCCCAGGTAAATGCAGGCGTCCGCTTGGTCATCACATCTCTTGCCTGCAGGGCCGGCGAGAACTGGTGGTGGGTACCAGTGGTGGCGCCACCCTTGGGTGCCTACATAGGTGGCATCGTCTACCTGGTCTTCATTGGCTCCAGGGCCCCACGGGAGTCCCAGGGACCAGAGAACTCTGCGGTGTCTGAAGACCATGGGCTAACTGCGCTGCCTAAGACCAGCTCTCACTTCCCTGTGATGTCCACCAACACACCTTCTGTGCAGCCCATCGCCACTCTGAGCGACTCCATGCCCCTAGAGAGCTTCTGAGACACTTAGTGACCCCGCCCCATCTTTATTAAAAAAAAAAAAGAAAGTGGTCCTGTAGCGGCACCCTCCCCACCTCTTGGGGCCTCCTGTGGCTGGCCTTCCCTCCTGGTTTCTTCTACCAGGAGTTCCAGGGTCATGTGTTAGCTTGGGGCTGCCCAAGCCAAGGAGGCTTCACTTTGTTCCAGCCCCTGGGAGCTGGAGTACCCCCTTGTAGGGGAATGGGAGAGAACAGCCCTGTGGTTTGGGAGGGGGAGAGACGTAAGAGCAGAAAGGGCCCCCAATGCAGGTACAGGGTGGAGGAGCTTCAGGAAGACGGGAGGCAGAGGGAGCCCCAGGGATTTGGGGAGTTAGCTTTAGGGCTGCCCTGGGGACAGGACTCCAGCCCCTTCCCTGGCTCTTCTTCTCAGACCAGAGTCCCAGAACAGGTTGGAATCTCTCCATCTGCACCACCATGCCTCTTTAGCAGCCTTGTGGCCCTTGGTTCCACAGCCACATGTGTGATTTCCACACCACAACTGCCAGGTGCTGACTTCCCATTTGCGTATCTGTGTTTCACACACAGAGTCAGTTTTTTTTTTTCCCCACCCGCTGCCTCCATTCCAAGAGTCAGTGTTCACTCCCTTGGCAATTCCTGGCATGGACTGAGAGGGGAGGTAAGGGAGTGGGTTCTTTGCTCTGGAACCAGAACTGTCCCACATGAGAAGTTGGGAAGGAAAAGGCAAAAAGCTGAGGATGGTGTAATTGGTTCATCCTCCATTTGCAAGCACCAGCATCCTGTAGGAGCACTGGTTTGTGTCTTAGCTGTTCCACTTCCAATCTAGCTCCCTGATTGTGGCCTGAGAAAGCAGGAGAGGACAGCCTGAAGCCTTGGGACCTTAGACCCATTGTGGTCGGTTGGGGAGTGAACCAGTGGATGGAAAATCTCTCTCTTCTCTCTGTAAATATCTCTTTCCAATACAAATAAATGCATCTTAAAAAAAATTACAAGAAGACCCACAAAAGGTGAAGAGGCAGGAGGGACCAGCACTACAGCACATCAGGTGAATCCACCACCTGCAATGACATGCCAGCATCCCAAATGGGCACCAGTTCAAGTCCCAGCTGCTCCACTTTCCATCCAGTTTCCTGCTAATACACCTGGGAAAATCAATGGATAATGACTCAAGTGTTTGGGTTCCTTCTGCTCACATGGAAGACCCTGGCTTCAGCCTGAAGAGCAACCTGGGGGTGAACCAGTGTATGGAACATCTTTCTTTGTAACTCTTTCAGATAAATAAATCTTTCAGGAATGATCCTGCTCTCCTACTGTGTGCAGGCCCTATCTGGAAGTGGTGTATATGAGTGCATGAGGGCAAGCACCCTGTGTGGGAGGAATGCCTGTAATGGTGGTGGCAGGGGGAGGATCTGCCGGGGGGGGAAACCAAACAAGTTAGCCTGGGCTGCTGGGGGCTGTGGGGTGCAGAAGGAATTCCCGGAGGGCTTCTCAGAGGAGCAGACACAGCAACATGGGAGGTGAGGGTGCCCTTTGTGGAGCTGGGAGCCACCAAGGGCAGCACAGAGGTTGCTGCACTTCTCCTGGGAGGGTGGACAGTAGTAAGATGACCAGAAGGGCCTCCTGAGCTGCTGTGTGCAGGGGGTGGCGCTGGGGCTGTGAGCAGAGCGGGTACTGAAGAGGTCAGTGCTGAGGACCCAGAGTACACTCGGGATGTGACCAGCACTAGGAGGGACGGGTGACTAGAAGGGGAGAGGGGAATCAGGGAGGACTTCCTGTCTGGCCCAGGCCTGGGGGCTAGGCAGTGTGCTCCCCCCAAGGATACAGCAGGGAGAAGAGGCTCCTCCGGGGAGGAAGATAAATAGCCCAGGTTGGGGGAGCTGACCGTGGACAGGGCTGTATGGTCTTGGGCAAGTCACTCAGGCACCCTGGGCCTTGGAGTGCTATGTCTGTGAAACGGGGTGAGAATATCAACCCCTCTGGGTGGCTGTGACAATATTCTGGGCCTACAGAGTGCCATGGTCCCAGCCATCAACACTCGCAGCTGTGCCTTGTTTATTAGGAGAGAGCTGAAGGGGAGAGCCAGGCAGCCAGGCTTCGTGGATGTGGCTACACGCAGCGTGACAGCTCCCGACGGGTGAAATGTCAAGATACTATGGGAAACACACATGTGTGTGGTTAACAAAAGAAGGGGATGAAAAACTAGCCTGGTGGCGCTGTGAATTAAACTGCTTCTTTCAGTGCTACCATTCCAACCCATGTCGGCGTGCCAGTTCAAGTCCTGGTCTCTCCTCTTTCTGTCCAGCTCCCTGTTAATGCATCTGGGAGAGCAGCAGATTGCTCAGGTGCGTGGGTCCCTGCACTCACGTGGGAGACCTGGACAGAGTCCTGGCCTCCTGGCTTCAGCTTGGCTCAGTCCCAGCCCTTTTAGCCCTTTGGGGGGTGAACCAGAGGTTGGAAGATCACATTGCCTTTCAAATAAATTAATGTTAAAAAAATAATATTAGCAAATAAAAAAAAAAGAAAAAATACTAGCAGCTTTAGCATAATTTCTGTGCTTATGAAAGCTAAATGAGGGGAGGGAGGTCATTCCTCTAGGCAACAAGGGATGTGGAAGAGCACAGGCCTGGAACCTTTGCAGCCCGGAGCTCCAGGGTGCCAACTGGGTTTGTCAAGTGATCATTCTCCACAACTTATATAAATGTGCTGTGTAACCATGTAGTTACAAACACAAACAAGAAGTGGCCATGACATGTGTGGGGTAGGGGAAGGGCCTGGCAGGGCGTCAGGGAGACCCCTGCTAGGAGCCGCCGAGCCTGGAGAAGCTGGATCATTCCTTGGCTGGTGTCTGGAGCTTGTCCTCTGTGCACCCCCCCACCATCTGTCCCTCTCAGCGTCAGTGGCCCTGGGAGTCCAGCAGCTGCTCTCATTCCCGGCATTCCAGGGCAGCATGCCTCAGCATAGAGAAAGAGGCAACCGTGATGGGTCCCAGGGTTCTGGCTCCTCCTGTCCCTCGCTGAGCCCTTCCCAGGCATCCTCATGTCCCTGGGAGGGAAAACTGGAGGTGAGGCATTCAGGAGGCCTGTTCTCTGCCCAGGCCACCTGACAGTCCGGCCCCTGGGCACAAGGGGCAATGCCCTTCACTCTGTTGGCCGAGGGCATGTGCTGCACCGCACACACATTCTGATGTCCAGGGCGTGGGAAGAAGGAAGAGGAGCTGGTGGTCACTGTGAGAGGCTGATGTGGTGGCTTGGTGATCCAGGACATGGGGTGTGGAGTCATGTGGTCCCTGGGATGAAGACCGGAAAGGAGGGGAGGAGGTAAGAGAAGTGTGTGCGTGTATGTGTGTGTGGTGGGCTGAAAGGCAAAGGTGAGGGAAGTGTACAGGGGCTGGGCCCTGCTGACATGTGCATGCGTACACGTACACACACACACACACACACTCATGGTTCCTCCTGCAGACAAACCTGGGCAGCTCCAGGAGCCCGCTAGGGTGTGCACTGAGGATGCCTTGGTCCTTCCCCATTCTCCAGGTCCTGGGTCCAACCGTGTGACCTCAGGGGGCTGTACTGGCCGCCATCTGGGCAGCCCCTGACTCCAACTGCTTCTGGCAATTTGCAGGCTCCCCACCCTGCCCCCTGAGCCTGCAGCTGAGCTGGAGGAGGGGAGCAGGAACCAACTCCCAGGCCAGGCCAGGCCAGGCCCTTCTAGCTCTGCAGTTACAGGTTCTGTGCTCTACCACCTGGTCACAGCTGGGTCAAGAGTGCTCACCCTGGCTGGCCTGCTCTTGCCCATAGAGCCCCCCAGGGGTGTGGGTCTGGCTGGCTTCATTGTCACCTAGTCCCCAGCAGGAGGTGGGAGCAGCCACCTCGGGCACAGCTCTCTTGTCTGGGCCTCACTCACCCCTATTCCTGGCTGGGAACAGAACAGAGGATGTGAGCAAGATCCAGACACTCCTGTGTGCAGCGGGGTTCTCGCTGGCCACTGAAGGGCATTGCTGGCACAGCTGGCTGGTCTGGAGGAGGCTCATGAGGTGACATCATCACTCCTATCTTCCAGGGCCCAGCGTGCATGGCTGCATCAGTTGCCGTCATCATGCATTGTGTCATGTGACTCTCGTGTCACCATACTTGCCCCCCACATGAAGTAATCTAAGGCAGGGAGACTGGTTCTGTGGAGGGGGAAGGCAAGCTCCAGCCCTCGGCCTGCATGTTTGTTTTCAATATTTATTTATTTTTATTGGAAAGACAAAGTCACAGCTAGAGGAGGGACAGGTTTTCTATCTGCTGGTTCACTCCCTAAATGGCTGCAATGGCTAGAGCTGAGCTGATCTGGAGCCAGGAGGCAGGAGCTTGCTCTGGATCTCTCATATGGGTGCAGGGGCCCAAGAACTTGGGACATCCTCTGTTGCTTTCCCAGGCCATAAGCAGAAAGCTAGATTGTAAAGTGGAGTAATCAGGACTTGAACTCACACACATAAGGGATGTTGGCATTGCAGGCAAAAGCTTAGTCTTCTATGCTACTGCATCGGCCCAATTGCCTAGTTTTGTTTTTAAAATCACGAACTATATTCCAGACAAGAATGTTACACAGGGACGGTTAGAATGACAATAAAATAAATACAACCCCAAATTAAAGAAAACAACCACCACCAGACACTCAAGCACCCACCACCCAACTTGGGGCAGGCTGTTCAATGTCTCTAGGCCTCAGCTGTCACCTGTATCACGAAGCTCAGAGGAAGCAAGATGTGGGGGAGCACGGGTAGCCAGCACAGGGGAGCCCCTAGGTCCTCCTTTTCTCTGGCTGGAGGCTGAGTCAGTGGCTTGGAGAGGCTGCTCCAGGCACGGAGTGGGAGGCCTGGGTAGGAGGAGGCTGAGGCTGGATCAGGTGCCTCAGGAGCAGACACATAGCTCAGAGCTAGATCCACCAGGCACAGCAATTGAGACCTTTGTGTTTTCCAGGGACTCAAGCAGTCCCTTTGCGGGCCAATGAGGTCAGCTATGTCCTGGGGCTGCCATGGCAGTGCATACTATACTGGATGAGGTGCTGGTTAGAATCTTGCTGTTTTGCTTTCAACCCAGCTTCGTGCTAGTGCGCCTGAGAAGGCAGGGGAAGACGGTCCAAGTACCTAGTTTCCTATCACCAATGTGGGAGACTCGGATGGAGTTTCTAGCTCCCAACTGCTCCAGACCTGTGGGCTGTGGACATCTGGGAAGTGAACCAGTAGTAGATAGCAGATCTCTAACTGCCTTTCAAATAAATAAATCCATGAATAGAGGATGATGCACTCTTAAGGCTATGAGAGGCCCTGTTCTGTTGCAGGGAGCTGTTTTGGGTCAGCTTCTGGGCCCTGAAGTGGCATCTGATCTTGGAAGGGGTTCAACAACCAAGAACCCCCTTAGAGAGCCACCCTGGGAAGTCGTTCTTGCTCCCCAGCTCCCAAGACCCAGGCTCAGGTCTTATTCAGCAAGACTGTGAGGCAGGGGTGCTCAGCTAAAGGAAGCGGCAAGCAGAGGTACAAGCTGTACCCTGGGCCACGTAGTGTGGTGCCATGGGGAGGATGGGTAGGAAGTGGCTGGAGACATTTAGGTGAGTCAGGGTGAGCCACTAGCCAGAGCTGTGCTTGAGGGAGAGCTACTTGGCCTGTGAGTGTGGGAGTGCAGTGGAAGGGAGCCCCTGGGGAGGGGAGAAGTTAGAGGCAGCTGAGCAGATACAGCTGGTGGGACAGGTGACAGGGAGAGGAAAAGGGACTTATCCCTGAAGGCAGGGACTTCAGGTCGGCTGTGTGGGAGGTCCAGGGCAGGGGGTGGAGTCAGCAGGAGACCGTGGAGGAGGA